TTACATAAAGTCAAACTTGTCCTTTTTTGATGGATTGTTCTGTGAGTTTTGACAAACATATAATCATCTACCACCACAATAAAAATACACTTTTCTAGCACCCCAGAAAGTTCCATGTGCCCCTCTGTAATTAGCACTTTTCTTTATCCCTTTCCCTTGCAATAATTAATCTCTTTTCTATACCTGTAAGTTATGTCATTTCCAGAATACCCTATAAATGGAGTAATATAACATGTAACATTTTAAATTCTGGTTTCTATTAACATTTTTGTATATATTTAAGATACGATTTAGTTTCATTCTTTTGCATATGGCTGCCCCATTTTCTAAACACCATTTCCTGAAAACTTTCCTTCTTTGTTATATGTTCTTTGATCCATTGTTGTAATTTTGTGTCTGTGTATATGTGGGTTCATCTGAGCCCTGAATTCTGGTGCATTGACCTGTGTATCAGTTTTCCCCCTCCCCCAAAACCATAGCATTTTAATTATTGTAATATTGTAGAATTGCTTGAAGTCAGGGACCATGACCATGAGATCTTTATTTTTGTTCTTTTTTCTCAGAATTGTTTGGCTATTTGAGGTTTCTGTTTTTACATACTAATTTTAGAAGGTTTTGTTTTTTGTTGTTTTTTTTTTTTGGTTGTTGTTATATATTCACCAGGAATAATGCTGGGATTTTGATTAAAAATTATATTGAATGTGTATATTGCTTTACGTAAATGACCATTTGAATAGTGCTAGGGTCATCTGAACCTTTGAGCATAGAATCTTTCCTTTTTTTATGTCTTTCAATAGTACCCAGGATACAAGTCTTTCAATTTCATGATTACATTTTTCCCTAGGTATTTCATTCTTTTTATACAGTTATAAATGGTACTGTTTTCTTATCTCCTAATTTTACTAGGTTATTTATGTATAGAAATACAACATATTTTTATGTATTGCTTTTATAGCCAACAGCTTTCACAGTATTTGTTATTGTTTTTAGTAACTTTTGGTGAAGTATTTAAGGGTATATATAATGTATGTAGTAAAAAATGGTATCAGTTTTATTTTTCCCTTTCCAATTGGGTATTTATTTTCTTGCATAATCATTCTAAGACTTCCATGTTAAATAATAATGTTAAGAGTAGACATTATCTTGCACCTGACCTTATTAGCAGAAAAGCCTTCAGTTCTTCACCATTGAATATGATAATAGCTATGTATTTGTCATATATGGCTTATATTCTTTTTAGGCATGCTCCTATGCATATTTTGAAAGTTTTTATTATAAATGAATGATAGGCTTTTTCAAACAGTTTTTTTTTTTTTGTATGTACTGAAATGACTATATAGCTTTTATGGGTATTTAGATTGGTATTTGTTGAACCATCTTTGCATAGCTAGAATAAATCTCTATCATAGTGTATGATCTTTTACATCTATTGCTGAATTTGGTTTGATAATATTTTCTTAAATGTTTGCACCTATATTCATTAGAAATATTGCTCTGTAATTTTCTTATTGTGTATGTGATGTCTGGTTTTGATATTAATATAATGCTGAACTTGTAAAACAATGTGAAATGGATTGGTATTCATTCCAATATGAAATGGTAATGAATGTGCATTATATAGTAAAATATTGGTAGAATTCACAGTAAAATCATTTAGTCCTGGACTTTTGATCTTTGGGGAGTTTTTGGTTAACTTTTCCATTTCTTATAAATGCATGTTGAGATCCTCTATTTCATCATGATTTTTCAGTCTTGGAAGGTTGTATATTTGTCACAACTTATCCATTTCTTTTAAGTTGTCCAGTATATTGGCATATTCATAGTGGTTTTTATGGCCTTTTGTATTTCTGTAGTATTTGTTCTAACTTATGAATTTTATGAATAGTTCCTGCTTTTCTTAGTCTAGCTAAAGATGTTCAATTTCATTTTTGTGTGTGTGTGTGTTCTCCCCCCCCCCAAAAAAATACTTAGCTTTTAGTTTGAACTCGTTGTCTTTTGGTTTTTGTTTTATTTGCACTCTGATTTTTAATATTTCCTTTTTTATATTGACTCTGGGCTTTGTTCATCTTTTTCTTGTTCCTTTAGATGTAAAATTAGGTTGTTTGAGATTTTTCTTGTTTCTTGTGATAAGCCAGTAGTTCTGTAAGCTTCCCTGAGCCTTTGTTTATGCTGCATCTCAAAGATTTTGGTATGTAATATTTTCATTGTCATTTGTCTCAAAAAAGTAGTTTTTTCATTTCTTTTGATTTCTTTATTGACCCAGTAGTTACTTAGTAACACGTTGTTTCATCTCCACATATTTGTTTCTCTAGTGTTCACCTTGTAGTTGATTTCTAACTTAGTACCATTGTGGTATGATACTAGAAACCATGTTTTGTACAATTTCATATTCTTAAATTTATTAAGATCTGGATTAAGCCCCAACCTATATGTCCTTAAGAGTGTTGTTCTATGTGCACTTGAGTAGAATGTGTGTTATGCTGTTCAGATAGAAGGCTCTATGCATATTATGGCCCTATTGATGTCATAGAAGATCAAGATTTCCTTGTCAATTTTATGCCTGGAAGTACTCTGTTGTTAATAATAGTTAAACTCCCCTGTTATGTTGTCATCAGTGTCTCCCGGTCTATTAGTATAAACTATATATTTGAGTGTTGCTACCTTGGGTACATTTATGTTAGAGATTCTTATAACCTGATAGATTAACCCTTTTATCATTATATAATGTCTATAGCCATTTCTTAGTACAGTCTTTGTGTTAGTCTATTACGTCTGATGGGAACAGGTTGTCCCAGCTTTCCTTTCATATCCATTTGCATGTAATCCTTATTTCTATCCCTTTTAAGTTATGTGTCTCTTTACCCCTGAAAGTATATATTGGGTCTTGTTTTTTATCCATTCTCCTTTGATTGGTAAATTTAATAAGTTTATACTTAAGGTGGTAACTGGTAAGTATGTATCACTGTTTTGCTCATTATTTTTCTGGTGGTTTCTGTAGTTCTCTGTTCCTTCTCTTACCTTGGGTTTGATGGCTTGCTTAAGTGGTCTGTTGAGATTTTTATATGTGTTTTTTACTACAAGTTTTGACTGTCTTGATTGCCATAAGATTCAGATGTAACATATCATGTGCATATTCTTCCATTTTTTTAGTTGTTTTGTAGTGTTTTTGTGTGTGTGTGTGTGTGCTATTATTTTTTTGATTTGTTATAAATGTAATATTGATCTCCGAAAATGATTGTGCATTCCCTCCTTTTCTGTTTTTGGGAAAAATTTATGTGGAATTGGTAGTAATTCTTTAAATGTTTTGTTGAATTCAACAGTGTGCCATGTAGTCGTGGGGTTTTGTTAGGGGGGACATTTTTCCTTTTTTTTTTTTTTAATATTTCAATTTACCTAATATATGTCTCTTCAGATTTTTCTGCCTTTAAGTCTATTTCAGGTTTATAGCTTTCTGGAAATTTATCTACTTAATGGGTTTTGATACTTTATTTTTGTATTTTATAATAGTTTCTTTTTACATATTTTTTGTGCATTTTCCATCTCAGTTGCAATCCCCTTGCATTTCCCATCACCAAATCACCCATGTGCCATCATTATAGTCTTACTTTTTAAAAATTTTTTTAAAGATTTTTTTTTTTGTGCATACAGAACTGGGGTACAGGCCAGAGGTGCAGGGGCAGTGAGAGCATTCCCAGAGACAGGGTGGGGAGCAGAACAGGCAGATTGACGAAGTACACTGCTGAGGGTGCTCAGCTGGCGGGTCAGGAGAGGTCTGCCGCACCATAGGGATCACCTCTAGGGCTGGGGATTGAACTTGCTCTGAAGAGGCTGTGGTTTGCTTGCAGTGCTGTGCTTTTCACCCACTGCACCACCAGGGAGGGCCAGTGTGCAGGATTGTCAATGTCTGTGTGTCTCCTT